TTTTTTAAAGGTAATCTACTAAGACTATCTGCACTATTCTCAGATCCAGGTTTGTATTTCAATTCATAATTGTATGCAGTTAGTGTGATAGCCCATCTTTGAATTCTTGGTGAGGCATGCTCAGGTAGGGTTTTGTTTTCTCCAAATAAACCTAGCAATGGTTTATGATCTGTAAAGATGGTAAACTTCCTACCAAACAGAAACTTATGAAATTTCTTAACACCAAAAATGATGCCTAAGCCTTCCCTATCTAACTGAGAATAATTTTTCTCAGCCTGGTTCAAAGATCTACTGGCAAAAGCAATGGGTCTGTCACCCTTCTCATCCATGTGGGACAAGACTGCTCCTACACCATCTGGTGAAGCATCACATGTTAATATAAGTCTTTTCCCTGGGTCATAGTGAGTTAGTAAGGTGTCAGCAGACAAAGCCTCTTTTGCTGTATTAAAAGCAGCTTCTTGTTGTTTACCCCAGTGCCAAGTTGCATTTTTCTGTAGCAGCTTGTACAGTGGTGATAGTTTACCAGACAGATTTCCTATGAACTTTGCATAGGAATTTATCAAGCCCAAAAAAGCTCTTAGTTGTTGGGTATTTTCAGGTTTGGGTGCTTCTTTAATGGCTTTTGTTTTCTCAGGTTGAGGTCTGATGCCTTGTTTGCTCAATATATAACCAAGAAAACTAATTTCTGTCAACATGAATTGACATTTATCTTTGTTTATCTTTAAACCTTTTTCACCAACAATTTTCAATACTTTATCAAGTGTTTTAAGATGTTCAGTGTCATTCTTACCAGTTATGTACACATTGTCAAAGTACACACAAACATTTGGAATATCCTTAAAAATACTGTCCATGACAGCTTGGAAAATTCCAGGGCTAGATGATATGCCAAAACATAGTCTTTCATATTGGTAGAGTCCTTTATGTGTGTTTATTGTCGTATAGACTTTTGAATCTGGATGCAGTTCTAGTTGAGTGTAAGCATGACTAAAGTCTAATTCAGTGAATTTGTCTCCTCCTGCCAAATTCAAAGAAATTTCCTCAATGTTAGGTATAGGGTACCTATTTAGCTCTATTTGCTTATTCAGTGTAGCTTTGTAATCTCCACAAATTCTTATAGAACCATCCTTCTTTAACACTGGCACAATGGGCGTTGCCCAATCGGAATAGTCTACCTTCTTTATAATGCCATTAGATTCCAATCTACTTAGCTCATTTTCAATTTTATTCCTCATTGCATAAGGTGGAACTCTAGCTTTGCAGTATCTTGGATTTGTATCTTTAATGCTTAACTTCACTGTTCTATCATTTAGTAAACCTGAATTACCAAAAACACATTTATTTTCAGATATAACTTTATCTAGTGAAGTAAGACTAGATTCTTTCACATTCTTCAATGAACAAATACTCTCCCAATTTAACTTAATATCACTTAACCAGTTCCTACCTAGTAATGGCGGTCCATTTCCTTCAACCACAAGAAGAGGAAGTTTAACACTTTGACCATTATAACTCACATGAACCATACACTCTCCTATTACCGGAACATTGTCACCAGTGTATGTTGTTAGACACTTGTGACATGGCTGTAGAGGCACTGATCCTCCTGAGACAGCGTCAAAATCTTTCTTTGTGATGACTGTTAGTGATGCTCCAGTGTCAAGTTGGAAGCTGATGCTCTTACCGTTGATATTAACTTGTACATTGATGGGAGCATGACTTATTGATTTCACAGAGAACAGGTTGAAATCCGGCTGCGAATCAGTTTGAGCATTTTCACAGGTAGAGTGGTTCATTGGTTGGGTTAGGTAGTCTTGGTGAGAGTTAACATAGTGCTGCCTTTGGTTGCGGTACTGTCTTGACTGGCTAGATTTAGCAACAGACGAAGACTTTGCAAAGCAGGCCTTGGCAATATGACCTTGCTCACTGCACTTATAACAAGTTGCAGACTTGAACTTGCACCGATGAGATGCATGGGGACCTTTGCATCGATGACATTTTTGATAATTATTACTAGATTTAGATCTAGGATTTGAACGAGCAGGGTGTTTAGCATAAGTTGGAATGCTCTGATGGGGATGATGTTTATTGACTAACCTGCTGTTTACTGCATGGATCTCTGAAGGTGCTAAAGATCTCACCGCATCTGATGACTGCTGGATTGAAGTTGCGAGTTGTATTGCTTTTTCTAATGTTAGATCTGACTCGAGCAGCAACTTTCTTTGAATATCAGGGCTGTTTACACCTGTCACAAACTTTTCACATAATCTGTCAGACAGCGTGTCTCCGAATTCACAAAATCTACTTAAATGACGTAAAGCAGCAACATATTCTGATATTGACTCGTTTGGTTGACGAGTCCTACTGTCAAATCTAGCTCGACATAGAAACTTCGATGGGGTAGGCGCATGGTGGTCTGTTAGCAATTTGCTCAGCTCGTTAAAGCTCTTGGTATCTGGACTAGCTGGTGCGCATAAGTCCTTTAGTAGCCTGAATTGTTGAGGCCCTATGACTGTTAACAAAATAGCTCTCTTTTTGGCTTCTATCGTCACGTTGTTTGCTTCTAGGTAAAAGCTTAACCTCTCTAGGTAATCTTGAATGATTTCATCATTCGCATCAAATTCTTTTATTTGGCCATACAGCGCCATAATTCTAGAAATAATTAGCTAATAAGCTCTAGCAAACCTCTTTTTTGCGTAAGTAGGTGCTCTTTCTAGTAGATGTTTATCCCATCCTCGTCGCCAAATGACGTGGATTGTAATGACTGACGAGAAGCCGCGTTGGTTGTTAACAGTCTTTATTATGTACAGACGCCATCATGCAAAGAGAGAGGAAGAGCAAGTGGCCAGAGACCACTATATATAGATAACAACATGTAAGGGACATCACTCAAGATAACAATATAAATATAATACTAATACAGAGAGTGAGTTCCCTTGACCTCACAATTATTTCAATCTATTACAACAGATTTAAATGGTTTGTAACTAAAACATCGAGAAATACAACTTTGAATGACATGAAATATTGCATACAACGTAAGAGGGTGCAAATATTAAAAATGTCTAGAACAGTTAGGTGACAAGGAAAAGTATCAATTTGAGTTCGCTGTTGAGATACCATGTAAAATCAAGCATGCTTTAAATAAGCTGTAGAAAGTTAAAATTATGGAGTCCGGGTTGTCACTCAGCACTACTCAAATGTAAACAAATATATTTTAAAAATACTTTGTCCATCGCTATATTTTAACCTATGCTACGGTACGGCTAAGCCAACAGTACAATCATGTGTAGCTTTAAACACTTTGTGTCTAACGTGAGAATGCCGATATAGCCGTGAAAGGCAAGCTACACGATGTCCCCATGTTCTCAATGAAGAAATCTATCGAGACAATCGATTTGTTAGTAAACACGGGCCCTAATCAATCACACACGTGTGATCGAATGTCGGCCGAACAAAAATCAATGAGGTGTGTTCAACACATGTGTTCTTGACGTGCAGACGGTCTACAGCTGGCTGCCACCCCCTCCCTCCCCTTCCCCCCTCGTGACATTGTCGTCTGAGGTGAAATTCTAGGTCGTGAGGTGGAAATGTTTCCCAGCAGTCGGGAAGGTGTTAACCGTTTGTTTATACCATTAAAGGTGTATACATACAACTGTTAAGCACGTTCAACTTCACAATAATATGATGGTATTGCATTTATAATTCTTAATTAGGCTAATTGCATGCATGTATTTTGCGTGTTGTCTTACGTCTAGTTAAAAAAAATATTTAAAATACATTTTTTCAAAGACTGTCCCATTTTACCTTTTCTTAATTATTCATTATGAAAATGTTAATTAGAAAGTAAATGAATGTTCCTCGTAAAATCGCTGACAGTTTAAAATGTCCTCGTAGTTGTTGTTATATTTACGATACTTGATGATTTAATTTTCTTGAAAATGAATTTTAAATACAGCCGTAATGTTATACTTTAAAAAAAAAAGAAAAAAGAAAAAGAAAGGCTTGGGAAATTTACATAATGAGATTTTTTTCTGGGTTTTTAGGTTAGAATCTGGGGCGTTAGCGTACACTTTTGTGTGTGGGTTAGAAGAGATGGATTTGGTTACTGTATGTCCGTGTATGTGTATGTGTGTGTGTGTGGGGGGGTGTAGTTTTGATTACTTTATGTCCGTATGTATGGCCCGGGTGTGTTAGTGTGGAGGGGGGGAGTAGTGGAATGGGTGGATTTGATTAATGTACGTCCGTGTGTATGTCCGTATATATGGGTGGGTGTTTAAAAGTAGTGGGGCACCTTGAACAAAAATAACATTTTACAAGAGAGGGGGGGGGGGTGTCGATACTATTTGTTTTAACAGAATGATTAACAATGTTTCCGTGTAAAAAACATTCAATTTTTGCCACGCTTATTTCCAGCTTTGTATTGAGATGTTCACTGGTCTACTCTATTGCTAGGCGAATTGTCCACTCCCCGAAGAAAGTCTACCGCCCCCCCCCCCCGAACGTAATGGAATTTAATTTATATAGAAAATACATACTTTCAACAGTGTCCGTCCCGTCCCCCCCCAAATTTCAGTCGCCCCCCCCCCCCCGACAATTTCAAGTGCGCCCCCCCCCCCCCCGGAGAAAAAAGTCTGGAAGAAACACACTATGACTTACACTTTCATAGGCATCCCGAGACTTCTGGATATGATACTATGAACAGAAATGTAGGGAGTCAGGGGCGGCGCAGCAAGTAGTAAGCGCTGCCTTGGCAGGAGCTAGGGGCGGCATGGCAGGCAGTCAGGGGTGCCATGGTAGGGTGTCAGGGACAAGGTGGCAAGGAGTCAGGGACGCTGTGGTAGTCAGGGGCGGCGCCTTGGAAAGGAAAATCCAGCGGACATTTCCGTTCTGTTACGTTGTGTTTTTCATCATCCAATGCTGTTATTGAAAAAAAAATCATTAATATCACTAATACACTTCTAAAGAGTAGATTCTAACAAATATATTTTATTTTTCAGGATTTGTCCAAATCATCATCGAATCATCATCGTCAAGTTTTCAATACCCTTCAATACTTTATATTGAATAAGGATTAACAATTTGGATTATAAATGGATTACAGGATTATCTTACAAAGGATTAGCTGTTTGTAACAGATACCGTATAACAGTGAGCTAGTAAGTACAAATGTCCTAATCTGTTGGCATTAAGTATGTTGTTATGTTTGTATGTGATACACGTGTTCGGCTGTATGTGGAAATGTTATTAAATATTGCCGCTCAGTGTATAAGCACTAGGTTGGATCTTACACAACCATGTTTAATGTATTATTGACACCGCTAAATTAAAGGACATTCAAATTATACAGGATATATTCGCAATTTTCATACCTAACATGAACATCAATTTAATCAGTTTCATGTACTACTTAATTGTTAATGTTTTCACCACAAATTATTAGGTTAGTTATTATCAGCTGGTTTGATGTGAAGTACACTTTCGAACCTGGCGGTCCATAGGGAAGCTGAAGTAGAGTTCACCTGTTTCAGTGACCTCGACATATGAAGGGATAGTGTGGCCAGCACTACGCCCAGCCGCCCTAACTTTCCATAACGTGAGTTAGGTACCCATCAGAACTGGGTGGACTCAGGGACGTCCTACTGACCCGGGATTCGAAATCGAGACTTTGGTGTTAGCAATCGTATGTTCTATCATCCGACCACGCCGTCCGCTTTTATGTATATATGCTCTCATAACTGCTTCAACGTTATTATTAGACTGTCTCCATTGCTTACATAACTTCTACATTTCGGCATTAGGCTATTTCTCCACTTTCCCCTCCCAATCCTTGATAACAGCACACTGCTACATTTACTTTGTTGTTTCAGGGTCTCCAACTGTTCTAAAGATGGGCACACAACGAGCTTCTTACATGGACGAGGCCCGGGGGGTGGAGGATATGATCGGCCTGATGTAAGCTTGGGTGGGGGATGGAGGGACCAAGGGAGCTGGCTGGAGGCTGACGTGTGGGGGGGGGGGGCCTACAGAGTGCTAGCTTGAGGTTTGACGGACCAAGGGGTGGAGGCTTTCTTTTGGACCTAGACATTGTTAATTTGTCGTGCATGAGTCTGATGCGCGTGGCTCAAGACGTCCTTGTGGTGGCTCAAAACATCTAGCATGGCGTGCAAGCAGTCTTTGGTCTGTGGTTCAACACGTTTTTAATCTGTGGTTCAAGACGTCTTTGGTCTGTGGTTCAACACGTCTTTGGTCTGTGGTTCAAGACGTCTTTGGTCTGTGGTTCAAGTGGTTCAAGACGTCTTTGGTATGTGGTTCAAGACGTCTTTGGTCTGTGGTTCAAGTGGTTCAAGACGTCTTTGGTCAGTGGTTCAAGACGTCTTTGGTCTGTGGTTCAAGACGTCTTTGGTCTGTGGTTCAAGACGTCTTTGGTCTGTGGTTCAAGATGTCTTTGGTCTGTGGTTCAAGTGGTTCAAGACGTCTTTGGTATGTGGTTCAAGACGTCTTTGGTCTGTGGTTCAAGTGGTTCAAGACGTCTTTGGTCTGTGGTTCAAGACGTCTTTGGTCTGTGGTTCAAGACGTCTTTGGTCTGTGGTTCAAGACGTCTTTGGTCTGTGGTTCAAGACGTCTTTGGTCTGTGGTTCAACACGTTTTTAATCTGTGGTTCAAGACGTCTTTGGTCTGTGGTTCAAGTGGTTCAAGACGTCTTTGGTATGTGGTTCAAGACGTCTTTGGTCTGTGGTTCAAGACGTCTTTGGTCTGTGGTTCAAGACGTCTTTGGTCTGTGGTTCAAGTGGTTCAAGACGTCTTTGGTATGTGGTTCAAGACGTCTTTGGTCTGTGGTTCAAGTGGTTCAAGACGTCTTTGGTCTGTGGTTCAAGACGTCTTTGGTCTGTGGTTCAAGACGTCTTTGGTCTGTGGTTCAAGACGTTTTTAATCTGTGGTTCAAGACGTCTTTGGTCTGTGGTTCAAGACGTCTTTGGACTGTGGTTCAAGACGTCTTTAGTCTGTGGTTCAAGTGGTTCAAGCTGACTAGCTGTAGACGTACCTTTGACCCTGCAGTATGTGCTGCCAAAAACCCAGAGCTTTTATTTCAATGGCATTCCAATCTCTGCCTACAAGACTATTTTAACTGACCCCCTACTGGTCGTAAAACCAGGCCAGAAACGACGGGGTTAAATGGTGGTATTCCAATAGGTGATACACGACTTAGTCTACCTCTACACAAAATTGTGGTATTCCTATAGGTGATACACGACTTAGTCTACCTATACACAAAACCGTTATTTTTAATGATCCTGTACATTATGTAGAAGAAAGCTTTCTTTTATCTGTGTACATTTTATTGATCAACTAGTTTTCTATTATATGCTTGAAGTATGTGCTCTATGAGGGGGTTGTAGGCCTACATGATATAAGTATTTACATTAAAACGTATCAACTCAAGCGTTAGTCGAACTAGGCTAACTAACTCTAGCCTCACACCCCCATCCACACTTACTTCACACCCCCACCCACACTAACTTCCCACACACTTTAGCGCGACGGTAGGGGTCTAAATTTAGAGGTGATCGAACAACTTTATACTAACCATTCAAGCGTGACTGTAAAAGTTTCGTAAAAAATTGGGTGCAGCGATCAGGATTTTGCCAGTCCGATTGTCTATGTGTGTTTAATATAGGCTGTCTATATATTTCTAATACATGCTGTCTATATATGTCTAATAAAGACTTCAATGTGTCTTATATTGACTGTTGAGTACAAGCTGTCTACAAGTGTCTAGTACAGACTATTGGCTGTCTGTATGTATTTATTACAGGCTGTTTATATGTGTCTAATACACACTGTTGGCTGTCTGTATGTGTCTAGTACAGACTATATGTATCTAGTACAGTTTGTCTATATGTGTCTAGTACAGGTTGTCAAAAGTTACCAAATACAGCCGTAGGCGTACACCAGGGCAACGAAAAAAAAAGCTGAACGAAATTCTCAGTAAAAGAATTAAAAAAGGTTTTCAGAACAAAGGTTTAGTTCAGGGACTTGAAACTTCTGAAGGGCTGAGAAAAATAAACACATAATCTTTGAACATTTGACAAGTCGTATGTGGTGGGGTGGGGTTGAGAAGAAGTGGGGGTAACGGATTAGAAACGAAACGTCATTTTCACTTTGTTAAGGTTTTTTTTTTGGGCAAGACTTAAATACACGTCACAATTTAGCGGGTCTGCTTGTAGATAATTTCAACACTGGTCCAGGAAAACGTCTCCAATATATATATATATATATATATATATATATATATATATATATATATATATATATATATATATATATATATATATAGTTTGAGTTTGTGCTAATTGTGTTTCATATGCCTACTTTTAGTAATTCTAAATCGACCTAAAGAAACAACATATCCCTAACCTTTGACCAAAAAAAAAAATTGGATTGAAACAAGTTGTTGCACACCTCTATAGCCATGATTTGGGATGTTATACCAGTTACGATGCACCACTTTACACAGTATAAGTGCTGTTAAAATTGTTCTCAGTCTGTGGGCCTAGATGATTACGTCAACAGTGTAGTGTAGTTATGATAAGTTCATGTGGGCCGAAGCTTTGATGAAGTGTGGCCTTGATCTACACGCACCAAAACTGTTGCAAGCTGCGTCTTTGTTTACAAACTGTTTGCTTAACTAAACACCATCACATTTTACTACAACCTGTATTGTTAATTAGCAAATTACGTGTGACAATTAGCGCTGTCCCTGGCTATGGTCGGTACCAGTACGTGCTTGACCAGTCGCTATCAGTAGGAAGGCCGGACTTAGATACCATTAATCAGGTGTAGGCTAACTCTCGGGACCCTCACTCTTGACGTTGATTGGTTTTGTGGCCAGTGTTTCTTTCAGGCTTTTTTTTCTCGATGGGAGGGGATGGGGTACTTTACATTGGGGGGGAGGCGAACTAAATTTTCCGAGGGGGGGGGGGGCGGGGGGTGGACACTCGTAAAAGTATATATTTTCTTTACTATGTGGCAGGTATTCAGATACTTATATCCCAATGGTCTCTTTTAAAACAGCGGTCTCTGTTCTAGCTAAATTATAAAAATTATCTTTCCGTCCTCACGGAGAGAATTTAAAAAATTATATCATTTGACAGAAAAATTAGAAAAAGGGTTCTTTTCTTACGTAGAAAATAAGATTTTAAAAATAATAAGATTATTTGACAGCTAAATCAGAAAATAATCTTAGCCATGGAAGTGCGTTGTTGTTGGAATTTGCTTTAACTTACATAGACACAGTGCATGACATGATCCAGATGGCGATTGGTCAGTATAATGACCTGATGACATGAGTTTAAAAAACAAGATTTTAATTGGTGCGAACTTGTCACGTGGTCGTTAGGTCTGACGAAAACCTTGTGAACAACAGTGCCGGGGAACGAAAAAGATACAGGTAAAAGAAAACATGGGAAGACAACATCAGGGGAAGGGACGGGCTAGACGCTGGGTGAGGAACTGAGGGGGTGGGGAGACAGAATGGAATGTAGGGAGACGATCAGAAGGTCCACCTAAACTACGGGAGACGATCAGAAGGTCCACCTGAAGAAACCCATTTATTGATTGTGGCTGTTGATGCTTGTTGACTGTTGCACGTTGTTATATATTGATAGCTGATGTTTACTTACTATAAAAAAAACATGTCTGTTAATTATTCATTACTTCTGTACTAGCACCACCCCCTCTATACCCCCATTTCGATACATTCGCTATGTAAACACAGACAGAGTAACACAAATTTCCCGCGGAACTACTAAATGAAAATCATGGTACTGTTTTGTTTCTTATGGTCTTTAAAGACTTCTAATAGATTTGGGACAAATAAAGTTCACGTGAACACATTGATTGGCCTTCTACATACACACTGCGTGCACACAGATGTTTGACACCGTTTGTGATGTAACATACAGGAGGTAAACATGGTTTTGTTATGGAGGGGGGGGGGGGGGCTGTTCTAATTGCGGTTTTATGACAATCACAAGTTTGAAAGGGAAAGCAGGTAAATTGACATTAGTGCACCGTCGCCAATAGCTGTAGGACCGGTGGGACTAGGTTTTCTTACAAACAAAATATTGTTTTCATTCTAAAGCAATCAGTTTGTTTTATTTTGGCATGTAACCGCTTTTGTATGTTCATGCGTGTGTGTATGTGCATGTATGTGCATGTATGTGCATATGTGTATGTGCATATGTGTATGTGCACATGTGTTTATGTTTGTGTAAACTGTGTTTGAGTGTGCGTAGGTGAGTGTGTGAGAGTGTGTGAATTCATTTGTGTGTATGTGTGTATGTGCGCGCGTGTGTATGTTTGTGTATGTGTTTTTGTGTGTGTTTATATATGTGTGAGTCTATGTGTTTGTTTATGTATGTGTGAGTGTATGTGTGCGTATACTGGCATCATAATCGTCCAAACCCATCCATCTTAACATAATATATGACGTCGTTTGTCGAACCTTTATAAAAATAGTTTGTGTATAAACAAACATAAATCTCTATAAGATAAAAGTAGGCCTTCCCTGTAGATACAAGTAGGCCTGTTTTGCTGTTTTGTTCAACTATCGCACATTTTAGTCGCTTCGTTCCTCATAGGTCTACTGTCACAAACTTAACTATAAATATTATGGACAGATTTCTTATCTACATAGTTACGTAGTAAATCCTCCCCCCCCCTCCCTTCCTCCCAAGCTGACATCTTTTCCCTATTCAGATTCTACCGTACATAAACTATTTAAGAAAAGAAAGTTGACTCCAATTCCCGGCCGCGCCCGAAACATACACAAACACCAACACAACCTGATTTTTAAAAAATATTGGCTGAAAGGTCCAATGGCCCGTGTCTACTGTAGACGTGATGTAACGCGATATTTAAAGGCTCATTAATTTTTTAAATCAAATCAAATT